TTGATTTCCAGAATCTGTCAATTCATATAGATTTCAAGAATCTGTCAATCCAGATAGATGTCTAGAATCTGTCAATCCAGATAAATGTCCAGAATCTGTCAACGCAGATAGATTTTCAGAATCTGTGAGTACAGATAGATTTTCAGAATCTGTCAATCCATATAGATTTACAGAATCTGTCAATCCACATAGATTTTCAGAACCTGTCATTCCACATAGATTTCCAGAATCTGTCAATTCATATAGATTTACAGAATCTGTCAATTCATATAGATTTACAGAATCTGTCAATCCATATAGACTCCAAGAATCTGTCAATCCATATAGATTTCCAGAATTTGCCAATCCATATAGATTTCGAGAATCTGTCAATTCATATATATTTCTAGAATCTGTCAAATCATATAGATTTACAGATTCTGTCAATCCATATAGATCTCCAGAATCTGTCAATTCATATAGAATTCCAGAATCTGTCAATCCATATTGATTTCCAGAATCTGTCAATCCATACAGATTTCCGGAATCTGTCAATCCATAAAGATTTCCAGAATCTGTAAATTCATATAGATTTACAGAATCTGTCAATCCGTATAGATTTCCAGAATCTGTGAATACATATAGATTTCCAAAATCTGTGAATCCATATAGATTTCCAGAATTTGTCAATCCAGATAGATGTCCAGAATATGTTCCGGAATCTGTCGATCGAGATAGATTTCCAGAAAGAATCAATTCAGACTATTTTCCGGTTCCATAATACAGATATAATCTAGACTGGAAATAGTATGAAAGGTTTTTAGGTAGGGCTGCTACAAAATGCATGCGCGGGCATTCTGTATTAGAACGTGCACCAGGATATTTTTTCGGTTCTGTCGGACAGCATGCTACGCATCATTATGCTTCGTTCCGCGAATGTAGAAGTTTTCCTGTAAACTCTATAAAACAACTGTTAAGGTACATACCCTTTAACGGCAAATGACTTCCTGTACAGCATTCTAGGCGTTTCAAAATGTTTCTTGAACGTTGGGAAATTATTTTTTAATAGATATATGCTATTGCATCGAAGAGGGGAATAAGCTTACAAAACGCTTAGACAGCGCGCGTATTAGTAAGAGCACCATTAAACCCATAATGGCAGTAATGCAGGCGATCGAAGCGGGAAGTTGGTTCCACTTAATCGACGTTTGGAGTATAAAAGTGCATTAAAACAATGGCATTTTAAACTTGAAATTGCCCAACTAACGACTATAATCAATAAGAGAGGAAACGTCGGATGATGGACTTATCAGTTTCTGACTAAAGATTGTGTTTTGCGTAATTCACACACAAAAAAAAAAAACGAATTAAGGATTTTACGGCGGTGCACCAGAAGCGGCGGACCTATGCGGGCAGAAAATGAGGGAGAAGAGAAACGTAGAGCGCGCGGGAACGTCAGAACACCGAGCCCTGGTGTTCTGACGTTCCCACGCGCTCTCGCAAAGCTATCTGCCTCTGTCTCCACTGCACTCGTCGAACGACTCAGAACGCTGAACTCCGGCATCCGGCGTTTGGGCAGTGAAGAGAGAGGCCTGGCGTCTATTCACCCGCCATTCCAACCAGAGCTCCGTGTCCTGACGTAACTCTGCGCTCCCATCTCCTTCTCTCTCTCGGTTTCTCTCCGCATACAGTTTTGAATGGCAGTAACTCTGGCAGTGCGGTGATAGCTGCAGAGAATGGCGCGGACAGAGCGATTTCGGACGGGTTCAATCCAAGTGATTAGTGATGCGCCTGAATGGAACGCATATGCCACAAAAGTTGCCTGTGTCCCCCCCACCCCCCTTCCTTTTTTTCCCCATGCGAAAAAAAAAAAAAAGAAAAGGTTTTGGTGCCATAATTACATCGCGAGACATACTTATGAGTTTGGAGAGGTTTTGATATCCCGACACGTTGAACCGAAGCATAAACATGTTTCGTAATCGATCCAGCAACACTGAGTTGACAAAAAAATTTTTTGTAGTGCTTGGAGTGCAGACGTTTATTAAAAAGTAAGCTTTCTAGTATTAGCGCGATATTTACGTCGTGAGAATTAATTTTAAGTGGAAAGTGATCCTGAAACGTGTCTCTAATTCTGCACGTCGTCCCGAAATGGAAACCAGCTGCGATAATCAAAAATAAGGCTCGTTGCTTAAATATTGCGCTAGAAAACATTTCCTAGGGAAAGTTTATTGTGTGACATGCATGCTCTACCCAAGCACACACACACACACACGCTCTCTCTCTCGCGCGCCCACACAGACACACACACGAACAAACACACACACGCGCGCACACACACGCACACACACACATTAAAAAGACAGTTCGAGAGTTTAGTTAAGGAAGAATGACGTGTGGCTATATTCAGTCGACAAAAAACTCAACGACCTGAAAGCCAAGTTGGGTGGGCGTAAGCTGCGTTACAATCGATTACCTTATCCGTATTTTTCCCCCTTTTTTTTATTCGAGTCTTTCACCTGGACGGTCATGTCGTTGACGCCCCCTCTTGTCCACGCTTTCCCCGCGGATCACGCCGAGGCAGCGCCAAAGTGGAAACGGGCAGATGTGCACGCAGGGACCTTCCTTATCTGGCCGCGGCACTCGACTCGTCCGTGCGTACACACCGTCTGCGGGGGCGGATCTCCGAGTTCGATCGCTACACGCTCTCGACGGTCACGGGCGCTTGCCCAGCTGCTCGCAAATGGGACACCTTCGCGGCGCCGCAGAACCTGAACAAAACGACAGTAGGAAGTTTCAGCGGACGGCTTTCGCAGGCTCTGCAACGACCCATGCATATGGTGGTGCACGCTTCATTGCGCGTTTCGAAGGGCCATTGCCAACACTCTGACGTCACACCGCTGCGGTGGCGCTGCTGTCGGTACTGCGCATGCGCAGACGCTTCACTCCTTCAGAATTTGGTTTCTGCGCAAGCGTAGTGCCAAACCTTGTGTGAGCAAAGCAGGCTTTTTTCTAAACACTGTGTTGGTGTATACTCCGTTTCAATCCAAGTCCTACCGAAGTCGACGCTATAGGTCCGATGGAGCCAATCAAACATCCCAAAAGTGCATCAATCGTAACGGCGCTCATCGTTTTTGTGCGTATGCCGTCACCGAGTAAATCAATCACGCGCAGTGAAAATCACATGGTCCCGATCGCCGTTCTATTTTGTGACGACCGAAGATTTGCTTATCATCGGCCTCGAGATCGGAGATCCCCGCCAGCTCGCCCTGCGCTGTCTCTCGGCTTATCCTAGCCCTGTAGTATGTGTCTCAACAAGCAGTACCTTGTCCCGTGCTCCGAGTCGGTTATTTCTACGGGGAAGAAGGGCGGCAACAACCGTGGAACGTTCGCGATTAATTACGCGGCCACGCACGGGTCTTATTTTGAATTTGTCTTTCCTCATCTTCACTCGACACGGTGCTGCCGATCGCCAGGTTAGCCCGAGCTAAAATCACTAAGTCGGTATAGCCACGTGCTGATGTAACGATACTGTGATAACCGGTAGAAAAAAGTTGACGGGACCATGAAACTAAGTTGACGAGGAAGCGGGTGTTCCTTCCCTGCCGCATGCGACCATGTCGCTGACTTCCGTGTAAACGAATTTAAATAAAAAAAAAAATACATTGCGTTTTGCAGATCATTATGGCCATTGTTTGCTCTGCGAAAATTCTTTCTGCGAAAGAGAGAGAAAAAATACTTATTCATACGCCAGGGTCCGCCGCTCAGTAGTGGTGACGGGGTTCATGATGTCTGGCAGCCTCGATCTCGGTCCCTATCATTTCGTCGAAACTCGTTTGGTGGGATTACGTTTTGTGGACCACTTTTGATTGACACACGTTTCATGGACCCACGTTTCGTCGACACGATCGTTTCATCGACATTCGTTACGTGAATTGCACGCTGTAGGGACATTTCGTCAGGCGTGTACCACTGGCGTGTACCACTTTTTCTGCTTTCGCGCCGCTTGGCGGCGACAGTCTGCGGCGGCTCATTACATAAATGTTAACCCACCTGATCGACTCGTAAACGCCGCTTCGCGACAAGAGTCTCATGCAGCTTAACACCGAAAAAAAAAAAAAAAGCTGGTTTGAGCTGTCAATGAAATTATTTGTCGATGACACAATCTGGTCGATGAAACGTCGTTCGATGAACTGATTGCCACCGCCTCTATCTTGCTGCAGTTATTCCAGTATAGAGACGAGCGATAATCTGTCTTGCTTTGCGTTTTCATAAGGGCACGATTGTCTACGCGGGAGAAAAAAAAGAGAAAACAGATACGAACCTTATAATAGCTCTTTTCGCGAAACATCAGTGCGTGTAAAAAAAAGGAAAGATTCTGATACCCGTTCCAAAGAACGCAAAGGGTTCATTCCGAGCGCCTCTTCACTCAAACAAGTGCGTGAAAAACGAGACGGGACTGCCGCCGCCCCCAACCTTCTTCGGGCACGCTATTTCCTCGCGCAGCACCGAGCGGAAGGTGACACAATAAAACCTGCGCCCGATTGAAGAAGCCCGCCGGAGAAAGAAGGAAGCGCGAAGAATGCCCAGACGCACGGCAGGCGGTGCAATCATCCGCGACCAGAGAGCCTAGATTTCAGAGTCTTTCCAACTCCTCGATCGGGATCCACGCGGTTTACGGCCGCATTTCACGATACGAGCGGCGATGAGTCGGCGACCAGTCGGCGCAGGAGGCGTCCGCCATTACGTTACAAACGCTCCCCAAGGTTCGAGTTGCTTGCTCGCTCGGATCGAGGCTCTCTATCCGCGACCATTGGCGAGCCTGGAGTGGTGGCACGACCGCGGCGGTGCGAAGCCCGTCTGGCCCCCCGTCTGCCCGCGGAGGTCAGACAACAATGGCCGGTCCAACGAGCGCGCCGCATTCCGTCGGGCCGAGGAGCAAAGCACTCCGGCCGCAGCGGCGGCGGCGTTAATCGACGCAGGACGTCCGCCAGGGGACGCCCGTGCGAATGGCCTTGGCCACTGAAAGGGCCGGTCCGTCCGCCGGACGCGTCAGTTGTTCGCTCGTCGCACGCCGCACCGTACGTACGCTTCGAAGTCCAAGATGCCCGTGGACCTGTACAACCTCTATGGCAGCCCGCCCTGCGGCCTCGTGCGCATGCTGGCCAAGCACATCGGCGTCGAGCTGAACGTCAAAAACGTGAACCTGGCCAAAGGCGAGAACCGCACTCCGGAGTTCCTCAAGGTGAGTTGCCCAGTGAACACGGTGCCGGTGGTGCTGGCGCAATTGGCAGGACACAAGCCAGTCAACAACACGGAACATTTCAGTTTTTTACACGTAACACCCCCCTCCCCACCTCCCCCCAAAAATGTATTATACAATGTACACAAACCTATACCAAACCTACGGTACACACCCCCCCCCCCCCCCCCCCCCCCCGATGCCCCTCCCAGAAGTGTGTTACGCCCCCTCCAAATTAACAATCCCGGAGGGCTAGGTTGGACATTGACACGTACAGCCTCCAGATTTGTTAACAAAACCGCGCGAACGCCGACCGGACGGTAGATCGGCGCCTTATCGCGGTGTGAAATGGCGTGGGGCAAGGCGTGTGCCTTCTGCCACACGCGCATCGTTTCGCTGACCTGCCCTTTCACGCCGCGATAAGACGCCGATATACCGGCTGGTCGACGTTCGCGCGATATGTTGTTCAAAGATCTGGAGGCTCTACACGTAAATGCCCAAACTAGGTACCCTGGATAAACCCAAGCGAAGACAAATAAAAGCCTTGGCACTAGTCCTCGACGTCATTAGAGCGACACCGACCACAGGCAGTCTTAGATACGAATACACTGTGGTAGCATTCGGATGCACAGTTAATACGTGGAACGACGCCCGGGCCCAATCGCTGAGCTGACACCATCCGAGTGTGGTTACACGAAGGTAGATGAGGCTATTGACAGGCTCGGATCATTCCAGGTGAAGCTGGGCCAGTACGGCATGTTCAACTGCGACGTAAACCTTTCGCCGAGATGACACGGGTGCTGCTTCTGGCGAGGACTGTTGGAGGAAGTGGTGTTTACCGCTTAGCTTAGTGCACCCAGTGAAAACTTTCCGTCGAACTAGCAATTTTGCTTTTATCGTAGACGTTCAGCTTTTCGAGAAAGGCAGAAAAAAAATTGCGATCGACTGTTCGTACCAATAGTGCCCACACCGTGTACACCTCCTTCGTTTTCCGACAGCCGAGTAAGCTTACATTTTTGCTCACGCTACGAAGGGATGTTAAAATGTAGTTTCAAGTTTTTTGAAGAGCAGCTCTTAGGCGCCCGTTTCCGGCTTGAGCGGCGTCGGCGTCAGCCTTGCCGCGCGGTGCATTATGGGAAACGTCCCATAATGCACCACGGTGACGCGCGCGTTGCATTATGGGAGGTTTTCCATAATGCACCGCGCGGGAGATGGGAGGGGGAGGAGGAGGGAGAAGGCGAGATTGAAGGGAGGAGTAGATGCTAAGGAAGGAGGAGAGGGTAGGAATGAGGATGAGGGGCGTACCCTCCCCTCCGTACCCTCCCCTCCTCCTCCTCCTCAAGAGCTGCGCTCTAATTCGGTTTTACAGGGAGTTGTAAAAATTGCTAAGGTTGAAGCTTGGGCGAATTGGTACGACATGCTTAAAAGATTAAAACAGCGCAAAAAGAAAAAAAGGCTGAGAATCGTTTGAGTGAGTTGTAAACGTAATTCGTTTTTCTTTTTGTTTCTTGCGGCCATAAAGCGACCGAAACGCCCTGTGCATCTTAAAAACAGAACAAAAGAAACAATTATGTGGTGTTTTTTGTTTTTGTTTTTCTAAAAACGCGACCACACATCGCGCGTGCGCCACGCCTCTTTTTCGATACTTCTGAAAAAGTGGCACGTTGAGGATGTGGGCTCGCATTTGTAAGAGGAGAAAGGCTATTCATTACTGTAATTTTAGCCGTTCTATTAGCGCTTAGATAATTGAGTTCCCGACATGAAAGGACGGTCTCAAAAACCACTTCAGCGCCACTTTGGCTGTTTCCTTTTCGAAGCTCTTCCTTCTCTGCTTAGTGTTTACGACCTGCAAACTTAAACACTCAAACTACGTTTATTTTTTTTATCTTTGCAATTTTTGCAATGCTACTCAACGTACCCAGGATAATCGGTCTACTTAAACTTTGTTTCGTTTCGTCATAACAGCGACAGCACATGTGAAAGGCTAGAAAACATACACTACAAGTGCCAAGTCACGTTGCCTTTGCTGTGCTTGGCTGGCATGGCCGATGATACCACATGCAACGAAAAATGACGAACGCAGTGACAAAGTATTTTGGTCCCCCCCCCCCCCCCCCCTTTGTTCCTAGCGTCGATTGCGCTCTATATACGTGAGGTGAAACAAAGTAGACGCATTACATCTACGACCTCTAAAGTAGCATTAAGTAAACGAAACTATTGATTTGATTATTGCATACAATTCGTAAAATTTGATTGGTTGGATTGCCGACTCTTGATTACCCTCTTCGTGCGGACTCGGCAACCCTCACGCACCTCGTCGAGGTCAAACCGCCCTTCGCGTGATTTCCTGCAGAGCACTCGCCATCTCAAGTACGAGGTCATTGCGGCCGAAATGGATTCAGTCGTCCTTTCCTTATTTCAGAAGCAGGAAAAATCTTTCAGCCGCGGCAGTCTTGGATACTTGACGAACGCCTTAAAAGCTGGTAAAACCACCGACCAACTATCCCAACACATTGGAGGCACGCTGCGCTGCCCAAGGATCGGTACTGTAGCGTGATGACATCAAAATTGGAGCACACTGGCCTTTCTTGTACGGCAAGCAAGTGTTCTAAAAATTGGCGCATAGGAAGGCAAAGAGGGGCACGTGGGCCCAAAGAGGGGCACCAAGCTCGCGCCGCCATTGATTCAGGTCGAGGGAAAACAATCGCACGTGGACGCAATTAGGTGGCAAACAAAGGCACGAGATGCGCAAGGAACGGGCGAACTTTCATGCCTTCCGCGGAACGCCAAGTTCGTCTGCTTCATGCACACGGGTTGCGATGATGTCAGAAAACCAAGCTCTAATTGGCCGATTGAAAAACAAAATAAAAATAGATAGTGGGTATACCTTAAGGCGTCTAGCATTGAGGTTTACTTACTACCCTTTCAATCAGAGCCAATCAGAGCTCGGCGTTGTTCTGACGTCACTGCAACTCCTGCGCAAGAAGCAGGCGATTCGCTCTCCGCACAAGACCGTTCCACTAATCGCCTTACGCGCGCTGCCATCGTTGTCTGCTCAGCTGTGGGACGCGTTCTGAGCGTGCGCGGTCGCTCTCTTTTGCGAAATATTAGATGCCCGGCAGATCTCCTCAGGCCGGTGACTGGGCATTTTTCGCTTAGGTGATGATCGCTAGAAAGGTGTGTATATATAGGTAGCGCTGGTCTCCATGGCCTCGAGTTCTCACGCGTGAGGCCCTTGCTTTCCCAACGGCCCTACCTTTTCCAAAAAGCGATTACGCGCCGCCCACTTGAGACGTGCAATTCGTGCGGCGTGTTCTTATACACGTATACTTTTTTCATTGATGGGACCTCTCGATTTCTACCGGGACCAAGGTGCGGCTCCCGCAAATCGACGTGGTTCTTTCCAGCGACGTAGCGCAAAAAGTTGTGCTTCAGAGGTCTCGCTCCTATCTTTCGTCACTTTTTGAGAGTGAAGTTGTTTGTTCTTTGTCGTTGTTGTTGTTTTTTTTTTTTTGTCCGAAAAGATACAATTTTCTACACGGGGTGTGTAAGCGTAACGCCTTTCTTTAAGTTTGCATCACCATATTACTTCGCGACAGCATGAGGCGATTAATCCCATCATATCTTCGTCGCTGAATAAAAAAGAAATAACAAAAGTGATCGGTGAAAGTTTTTTTATGCTCGAATTTCGGCACTTGGTTTTCGCCTTTGGTCACGAATTAGAACTTCAGAAATCGACGCTTGATTTGTAACGAAATAAATGCCGAAAACTTCCGAATGAATACTGGTTTTCTGTCTGCGCAGATGAACCCGTTCCACAAGGTGCCTACAATTGACGACGACGGCTTTGTGCTTTACGAAAGGTAAGCCTTCTATGTAGTGGCTGTTTCCCACCCCGCTCCACGCTCGCTAGAAAACCTAACTATATATGATGTAACTCTCTGGCCCTTCTGTGGAGGGTGGACTCGTTCGCCAGACAAATCAGCCTCGAATTTCTCGCCAGCCCTGGACAGTCTGTATTTTTTTTTTTTTTTAAGCTACGGTCTCACTGCTGTTACAAATGTCTACAGGCTTTGTCTGAGCCTTGTTTCTTTTTCTTACATGACTGCCACATTGGTCGTATAAAAAATAAAAGCTGTCTACGGACGTGTTCGAAGCATACATATATGTATGAACATGCTTGGCGCTTGTCCGTACACAATTTTGTCATGTTGACAGCAAGCTCCGTCGCCGTGTCTTTTGTATATGATGTATGGACGGTGAGTATAAGGTTTTAGCAGACGCTGGGACCCAGCTTCAATGGACGGTGGCGCCACAAAACATCCTGGCAGAGTGCTTGTGCATGCTGCGAACCCTCTCCTTCCACCTCCCTCGAAATTGCCACGATCCCTCCTCCAAAAAAGGCTTTCAGTGACTGTTTCTAATCGGGAAGAACGGAACGAGAGGCTCGAACGGGGAGCGCAGTCAAAAGGCTAAGAACACACACAAACGCAGACACTAAAAGCGGGAGGTCCCGGAGCATTCACTGGGCTTGATTGCCTCATCCGGTGACAGACGGGCATTATGACGACGAAGGCCGTGACGTTACGCTTTTAGCGTTGTTTGATTGACCCATCGGCTGGTCGCTTGGGTCGCCGCTTTCGCTTACGGTGAAACGGTGTTTAGTCGAAACAAGAGTCGTTATAATGTACGCTAGAGTTTCAGCTGGCGCAAGTTTTCGGTTGGAAATTGAAGCAGACGGCAAGCACTCCAAAATTTGTTTCTGGGGATGGATTTCTAAGGGGAAAAGCGGTGCCTTTTTTTCTCGGCGCTTGATTATAAGAGAAAACATTAGGAATGATTATAACGTAGTACATAGTTTGGAACTCTTTTCGATCGCGTAAATTAAAATATTGGTCAGCTAGTGTCTTTCTGTTAATTTAATGTCATTAAAGGTTGTGCTAAAACCGCTTCGTACATGCGTTTTACGTGCACTGTCTGGCACCATTAGCGCGAACACGGCGTCGATGCTTTTCCGAACTTTAGGGGAATTTACGTACCGAGGGAACGAAGGACACGTGGAAAACCAAGAGACGGCGAAAAACTACGGAGTAGCTCTGGATCAGTAACTCTTTGTGCATGAATACGATCAAACTAAAGTGAAGGTAAAGTTAATATAGTTCGATTTGCCATAAATAACTATGGCAAAATGTATTATCCCTGCTTGTGCATATGTTCGAAAATGCCTGTTGTCCGTTCAAAACATCACCCGTACGCTCAAAATCTTTGAAAATAGTGAGAAGCCAGAGAACAGGTGACCGATTAAAGCTGCCCGGAGTGGAAAATATAATAAAAAAATGCACTTTTCATAGCCTACGTATGTATTCTTTGCGCTTTGAATATCTCTAACCGCTCGTAAAAGATGCACGACGGGGTCACTTTCATAGATGTGACAGGACTCCGTATTTGCGACATGTAAGCGTCACAGGAATTCTCGATAATCTTGAGCACACTCTATATTCCTTTCGAATGCTATTTTGCTTAAAATCGTCGCTCGTGTTTACACACAAATTCTGTGCAATACAGGTTCAGGCCTGAAATATAGCGAAGTTTGACGTCGTTAATTGATGAAGAAAAAAGTTGTAAATACAGCAATTACTCTCTCTTACAATGTTAATAGAGGTACGTACTATTCGCTCCTACCCAAATAACAAAAGTGATCAGTGTTATATTCGGGCGAACAACCAAAATGCACACACGTTTTTTTCATAGGAATGCACAGGACCACGCAGAAGTAAACTCGTCGTTATAATAACTCTATGGTCGAATGAGCTGCGACTGGGTACTCGTTTTGGAAGAAAAAGAGCGAGCGAGTTATAAGGCAAAAATACGGCATGTCGCTTAATTCGAAGACACTTAATGTTGTTTTATTTCTATTTATCGTAACTTGCATATACACTTGACCCGAAAGAATAACGCATCGTCACTGGCGGGAGTGAAACGTTCCCCAGCGGGACCGATATATTGTATAATGAGGGGCCGGAGCCAAGGAAGTTGTGTCATGCTTGTGGATAGAATTATAGAACCGGCAGTAAGAGGAATCTGACAACCGTGCGTTTGCCTATTACTCTCGGTTTACTTGCCTTTCTCTATATACATGTCCAGCTTGTACTTTCCACAATATTGCATACCCTCTTCCCCCAGTTAACCGGCGAAGATATAGATCGGCTAAATGATGGGTTTTTCCCCGTCGGACTTTTCGGCCTTCCTGTCCTTCCCGGTGGCTTACTGCGGCGTCGTTCCCTCTCTGTGCAGCACCGCCATCTGCTACTACCTGCTGAACAAGTACGCCCCGGACTCTGAGCTGTACCCCAAGTGCCCCCGGGGCCGCGCCCGCGTCGACCAGGTGCTGGCCACGATGACCAGCACCATCCAGCCGCCCTTCATGGCCTTCTTCGTGAGTGTTGACCCAATCCTTTGGGGCCCTCTCGGCGGGCAGGCCCCAATGGCGTCACACGTCGCTGCAGGGCAAGAGTTCTTCGCCGTGCCCCGCGTGCTGTTACTCGCAGTATGACCTGCCGGTCACCAGCCCCGGGAAACTACTTTAGGCAGCTTTAAGAAAATCTGGTACTTCCAGAAAACATAACGTTTATAAAGCTTCTTTTTTTTCTTTTTTTTTTTTGCAGGCACATTAGGGGGAACGTATGGGACACTGTGTGACGTCACGTAACGTGACCACGTCGCATGACGTCAGGCACGTCACCTGACATCGTGACCCGACATCGCTACTCGTCGAATCAGCCGACCGTTTAATCGTGGTACTTTATGCGCATTGTTGGTCGTCCACGTGTGCTTGCATGACGTCACATCCGCGGCCATTGCTCTAAGCCTTGCTGCTGAACACGTACCCTCTCTACAGCATGCACTCGGCACCACTGCATTTGTTTCTCTCGGCAAGAACGAGTAGGAACGTGCGTGTCAACAACGATGCGGTAGCGTCGTGTACTTGGTGGAATGCCGTAGTGGCGTATTTTCTACGCCACTTACTCAGGGCCAACGTGGGGCATGTGGTGGACGCGAGTGATGCCTCAACGCTCGTCTCTAACTCGCGCTTAGTTAGTCGGAACACGAGTTCCAGAAAGACAATGACACGGCCCTCGTTTCCAATATCTGACCCGCGCGGGCCTTCATTAGGTGACGTCGAAATTTCGACACTCCGGCCTTCCCTATACAAGGTTTGCACGTGAAGTCGTCGTACCGTACTTACGGTCATTCCTATTTATACTTGCCAAGAAATTCGGTGGTGCGAGATGCATTGTTGTGTAGTATCGCGATAACTTCTAACTGTAATCCGATACAGATTTTTAAAGTAAATGTAGCGATAACTTAAATACATAAAAAAATCACAAAAACTAGGGAGTAATGCAAAAATATATATTTTTTGGCAAAATAATGGCCATATTTTGTGAACACTACAGCGTGTGCGGTCATGTGCGGAGGTTGGGCCCCACATTAGCCGCAACAAAACAAAAGAAATAAAAAAAAATTTTTTTTCTTTGGAACAAAGTGCTAACGTTAAGGGCAGACGTTTCTTTTTTTCTTTTTTTTTTTTACTTCTCTTTTTTTTGTTTCATCTCGCGGAAAAGCGCATTTAGCATTCACTTTATCTCTCTCGGACCGACTTCACCCCTTTCCGGCCTCATCGAACACCCCCGCCCAACGTTACTAGAACAACTCAGTTGGGAAACTGCCATAGAGCCTGCTTTGAAAAAGTGCCTCCGATCCGTACTCAATAGTCGATCTAAAGGCGACCGCAACGCCGCCATATTTCCCGCAGCGGCCACTCCGGGAACTGCACTACCGCGCATATTGGTTCAGGTCGAGTCGCGCAAGGGCCGGTGGAGCCATCTTTCAGTGTCCTTTCGCAGTAGCTATATAAACCAACTTTCCAGTTTTGGCTCGTCGCTAAAGGGCGGCCCTTTTGTCGTATCCAGTTTGGTCGCGGCGGACGCGCGCGGTCCGGATTTCAAGGGTGAGTTTCCCAACTGAGCGTTTTAGTAACGTTGCCCCCGCCTCTTCAGTGAAGCGACAGAGCCGCCTTGCGGAAACACGCGACGCGTAGACAATTAACGGCAGGAGTCGCGGCGACAGCTTTCTTTGTGAAAGCGAGTCTCCGCCAGTAGACACTGTCTAACCGGGGCCACAGACGATGTTTCTACTGGTTGACTTTCCCTTTCCCAGGGGCTCTGGGCCCGTGATCCACGGTCGAGTCTTGTGTTCTGCGCTGCATAAAATAAATTAAAAAGAAAAGCAGAACGCATTCCGAGACGGCTTCGTGCTGTTTTTGTTCACTCCTTTCTTTACCATGTTTGATACTAACGGTTTTTTCCACTTTATTCAGTTCCAAATGCCCCCCTCCTTGCCATTGTAATGAACCCGTCTGTTCATCGGTATATCCTTCTTTTAGATGAGAAAGGGGAATAAGATAGCTCTAAAAGGGTTCTGATTCGCTCCAAAAGGCTGGAGATCGAAACTACAACAGCATTCTACAGTCCACCTAAAAAGTGACTGCACTTGAAACAAGGGCAGAGGTGCTGGGCCTAGCTCAACACAATGGTTTTTGTTTACATAAGAACGCGTTCACAGGAGGTACTTTCCAATGCCACGTGATCCTGCCCATGCCTTTGTCTGCACCCAAGACGCCTGCGAAGTGGAGTATAGCCCCTAGGTGCCGTTGATTTCATTGGAGTTGAGCACTCCTCCTTGCATAATAGAAAAAAAAATCTATAGGGTAGTCTGGTTTAGAGGAGAATTGGTCTTAAAAAATGGTCCGTTTTGTTTTCTTCGCAGAGGCCCCGTTTCTTCACTCAGTCGAAGCCCACCGACGAGGAAGTGAAGGCACTCGAAGAGAACGTGCTTCAGGGGATCGAGACCCTGGTGGGCGACGGCAACTACGCCCTGGGAGACAAGCTCACTCTGGCAGACCTGTCGCTGATGGCTCACCTCAGCCTCCTCGCCGAGGTGAGCGGCTCGCTGCATTGCACGCGCTCGGCACTCACCCGGCACGCTTAAATGAATGAATACTCCATATCAGCATGGTTTCAGACGTCAAATTTCAACAGTGACGCAACTTATTGAAAGCTTTTACGATTTTTTCGCTGTCATAGACAATAGGAGGTAGGTTGACGCCATATTAATCGATCTGTCAAAAGTCTTTGACAGGTATCTCACCCGAAAATATTGTTTAAGCTAGAATCTATACTAGCAACAGGAAAAATTCTCAAGTCGATTGAAGACTATCTTTCAGATGGCTACCAGTGTGTAGCACTTAATGCGCACTCATAATTCTGCGGCAACGTTTCATCGGGGGTCCCGCAGGAATCAATACTGGCACCTTTTTTTGTACTTTATATCCATAAATGACTTGGTCAAAGGTGTGAAGGTAAAGCTTCGCCTCTTTGCTGATGATTACATACTTTACTCGCAAATAAAAAAAAAAAAAGACCAGATAAACCTAAAGTATGCGCTTCAACACATCATAAATTGATGTCATGATTGGGAGATGGTAATAAATTCGAATAAAACTGTATATGACCATGACCAGTAAAAGACAATAATACTCATTTTCTTACCAGACAGGAAACAACCTTGGAATAAGTCTGTGAGTACAAATACCTCGGCCTCAGCATAAGTCAAAATTTACGTTGGGACCCACGGATTGACTCCACAACTGGTAAAGCTTTAAACAAACTGAGTTTCCTTAAGCGAGTTTTAAAATTTGGATCTCCTGCCACTAAATTACTAGCGGGCAATACTTTAATACGTCTTACGCTCGAGTACGCCAACGTCGTCTGGTTCCCCCACAGAGTCTCCGGCATCAATAAGGTAGAAAGAGTTCAAAGAATAGCAGCGAGGTTTATTTGCAATAAATATAGTATGCACGTTTCTCCCTCTGAACCTTGTAGGCAACGGGGTCGCTCCTCTCTATAAAAAAAAAAAAAAACGAAAATGGCTCGACTTAAATTTTTATACGAATTAGCCAACGATCATTTTAACCTACAAAAAATATTATCTTATCCACACAAGCAAACGATTAACACGGTACAACAATGGCAATCTTTATGAAGAAGACGTCTCTCATAATAGCTGCTTTAAATTCTCTTTTTTTCCCCGAACCATTAACGAATGGAACGACCTGCCTAAATATCTTGTTCATTCTTCTCTATTGAATTCTTTCTCGATTACTTAGATGCCCACATTTCATCATAAACTAATATTTTATGCTCTTTTTAAAAGTGCAATGTATCTAGTGTATTGAAGTTGGTTATTATGTTTTTCATTCTCGTCTTCTATATTTGCGTTGAATATTGACCTGCAAATTGTGGGTATAATATTGTTTTGCTTGTAATATTTAAAACTGTACCTCCCTACTACAACCCCGAATGGGATTAGTAGTATTGAAAAAAAAAATCGAAAAAAATAACCTTTCCCTTTTGAATTGGAAGGCGGCTTGCGCCAGTTGGACGCCTGACACATGTGCCAGATTACAGCCGTTATTGCTGACCTTCTCTTGCCTTGCCGAGATACCGGGCAACCAAAAATGGTGTTGAAGTGCCTGCACAAAAGCCAATGGTGAGGTGAAGGACGCAATGAAATCGCAATAGGCAATGACCTGGCCTGCTATGGTAATGAAGTGAAGTAAACGGAATAAGAGAAAGCAAAAGCTGATGGTCAGTTATGGCGGCGCCCATGCACAGCTGCTGCAAGGCGCCCTTACAGTCGCAGCTTCCCTACGGGCGGACACTTTCGAGTGTCGCTAGTTTAAAGTATTAATAGAAAATGCCCAGACTAATCATTTTTACGGTGTACGGACATTATTGGCGGCAGCTGCGGCCTAAAACTGATATAAACTGGATCCACCTCTTCGGTTTGCAACAATGCAGGGGGGAGCACACAAGACACACACTGTAGGTACTCACACTTCTTTTAGGCTTGTAGGTCTCCTGGCTAATAACCAAATGCCTACTTTCAAATTTTAATTTTGTTTTCTTTTTGTTGACCATTTTTGGTTATAACATAACATCCCGAAGTTCATACGCCTCGGAAATCTCATGAGTGCTTGCACAACAAGCCGCAAAGTAGATTTATTTTATTAAATAACTCAATTATAAAAAAAGTTCACAGTGGGCTATGATCGATGACGGAACTCAAGAAATGTCGACCTTTAGTGTTGCCAATGGTGTTTTAAAAGGGTTTGTTGCGAATAAAAGCGTTTCCCGACGAGTGCCTATACTGGATTCCTAACTTAATGCTAAATGCTAAGGTCAGCTGCTCAAATAGACGATGTTTTCAAGGACTAAATACTTGATTGAGAGGACCGGTATTTGGAAGTCATGTCTTTTCTCGGAAAATATAAACCTTATATACGGTGAAACGTTTTGCGAGAGTTTCTATTTTCTAAGTTCGCGTGTTGCTTTCATTGACTAGACCCTTTATTTTGCTAGTACCCAGGTAATAGGCACCAAACAACGCACAACAAATGCAATTAGATATTACTAAATTGGTTGACTGGATTCACCATGCTCAAAAATGGACTGCCCGTATAGAGACTGGTAGGAAACGATAGTTGCGGGCAAGTATTGCCATTTCCTTTTTTCTTTTTTTTCCTTTAAGTAACGCTATTGATTTCCAAATCTTTTTTTATAATGCGTTTGAAAGGTGTTCAACGTACTTTGGTTGGGTTTCTGCGCCAATGTTTTCTGGGTCATAGATGGTGGACCTCCGTTAAAATGGACCCTTTGTACATCGTTTTTTCACTCCGATAACCATGCCCGATTCAATACGCAGCAATAGAAGGCTTTAGTAGATCGCTTTTGCATCCCGATAACAATACTCAACACCCCTTTGCACTATGTGGTCCAGCGCCATTGCGCATGCCCTGCACGCGCAAATAATTTCTGCGCAACATCTTGTACCGCATTCAGAGTGCAGAGAAACGATCTACTAAACCAAGTCTCGGGTGTTTCGAACAATCGCGCCTCCAGCCAAGCACGTGGCACCAACCGTTTTACGTTCCGCATTTTTCCATGTAAACGTTTCGCACTATTTTTCACGCAAGCCGACGCGCGTTCGGAACAAGGCGAATGCCTTTTCAGTTTGGACGGATTAAGCACTTGGGTCGCGTGGCAAAGAAAATGTGCAACGGCCTATATTAGCAGAAAATGTAGGGAGGTTACGTATCGTCTTTAGTTGTTCGACTTCAGTTTACCTTTCTTTGTTTACATGACTAGAAAAAAAAAACTTTCAGCCTTTCCACTCTGGTGAAAAAGGAAGAACAGCGGAGCTGTAGCTTCTGTTCTCGGCGGTTGCTTTCCTAGACGAGCGATCTGCTCTTCTTTCGCAAGGGAATTTGAAGTGTTCGACGCAGTAGAACTTTAGGCGTTAGCGGCCTCGCGGCGGTTGCTAATCATTCGTGCTGCTGCGCACATCGCCGCTCGTTTAGTTCCCGCTCTTCTTCCTCCAAACGAATGTTGACGCCATCTATTAGCGATGGCAGCAACCAGTTGTCTGGTTTCCGAGGCTGGAAAGGTTGCCTCCATGTATGTGCGACGGCGGCAACCAGAGCGTTGTGTCGGCCACAGGTGTTGACATTTGTTCGGTACCGGACACGATCCTGGGGAAACTAGCCCTTAACAACTCCGCTGTAAAAAGACGTTGCGTCTCTACTTTTTTTTTTTTTTTTTTAACATGAACTCCAACACAGCCGACGCTACAAGCTAAGCGTCAAAACTGCAAGTTACTAGACACTTCCTGTTATTGGTTCAGCGATGATAGAAGTTGGAACGCACACAGAAACATGACGAACACCATGATTGTGCGCTTTTGACGCTGCTTGATTGGCCCGATTAGCTCATAGCGTCGGCTGCGTCTGGACTAAGGACTCGTTCATACGGTCCAGTTTCCTTACGTTGCGTTACAGAGGCTTGCGTACAAGTCACCTGGACATGTTTTTCCTATTAGGCGGTGCTACCAATTAAAGGAGATAGCTTGGTGTTTCTTTCATCTGTTATTATTATTAAAATCATTTTCAAACAAAAAAGCCTGGCATTCGACGTTCGAGACACGACTGTTTAAGGTGACTTATAAGCAAAGTAAGAATACGGTGCTGTGTGAACCAGCCTTTAAGGTGAAACGAAGTATAACATTTCTTAGCCTAGCATACGTGCAGACACCAAAGGGAGCTTTGCTACGTGGATTGACAGAGTCGTCCTCTACAGCCTCCACTAAACGACCATTTTGGATAGTTCCAATGTGCACCATTCTTGGAGCGTATACACGATGTGTCTAAACAATTAACATTCTTTTTTTTTTTTATCCCGCTGGTGCCTTGCATTCGCAGATTCCCGTGTTCGACAGCGGCAAGTTCCCCAAGGTGGCCGCCTACTACGAGCGCCTGAAGGCGGAGCTGCCCTACTACGAGGAAATCAACAGGCCCGGAATCTCCGCTCTGGTCAACCTCTGGCCAGTGCTCAAGTGAACAGACTGCGCCGCCCGAAGCACGGCCCGTGACGCGCTTCTTCTTTCGCATAATTAAACACCAAATAAATTACTCTACCGCCGGATCTACTTCAGTGCCTTGACTTATAATAAAAGTCTAAATACAAAATATTAATAATACTTATTTTTATTCTTCCACAAACGGCTATGGCCCTAAAAATGGTACATTGTTATGAAAAAAAAAACACGTACAGAGCAGATAAAAAGACGAGCAAAGTTATAATCATGTACACACTATATATATATATATATATATATATATATATATATATATATATATATATATATATATATATATTAGTCAGAGATCCGTACTTGCGGAGTTGCTATGCTAGGAGTTTATTGCATGCATTACGACAGTTTCGCCGAGAGGCTCGGCTTCGTCAGGAGATGGCATACATGTGTGCCATCTCCTGAAGAAGTTCAGGAGATGGCACTCAAGGGTACAAGGACGAGAATCAGACACCACAGTGCGTTATACTAACAACTGATTTTATTACTCGAAACTTCACTTATACAGTGACGTCTTATGATTATAAGCGACGTTTCATGATTATGAGCGAAGTTTCATCTAATAAAATCACTTGCTAGTAGCTCACTGTGGTGTCTAATTCTCATCTTTGTGTCCTTGTATTTTGAGTGCTAAAATGTATTCCAAGTATAAACCCTCGCTCGTTCCCAGTGTTTCGCTTGTACCCTTATGGCCCTCCACAAAATTGTACAACGGATGTTCTAGAAGAGTCATGAAAATGCCAATTCCTCCCAAGAGCAAGACTTTCTTTTAGATTTCATTCACGTACCATACCAGTAAAAGAGTGGCTCGACTCCCGCGGCAATGGAGTATATGGAACCACCAAATGCCGACTTTGCCAAACAACTGAAACGTTCACGCGAGCTTTCATTTTATGTGTAAACGCTTTTTTTTTTTGGGGGGGGGGGGGGGGGGGAGGGGGGCATTTTTAAAAGGACACTGCAAGAGGATTTTGAAGTGCTTGAAACAAATTTTCGATACTTACATTTTGCCGAAAACCTGGATACAATCCAAACTGCTATAGTTGTACTAGGACATTATAGCGTATGGAAGACGCGAAAAGTAGATACTGAAGCGGGAGCTGCAAAGCCCTCCTGGGTAAATTTGGCCACAGCATACTTCAATGCCAAGAGAACGATGAATGGAAAAAAATAGTTACAAACCTCAGTCAGTCGCCAGCTATTATATAACATGCAGCTACTCGTGGAGAAAATATTACCATAGAAAAATGTCTCCCTTGCTAAGGTCACGCAGGTGCCCTACCATCTTAGTCAATTTACGTATCGTTTGCTTAAAAGCTTTTGCGTTATTGACAAATGTCACCTGTATATATTGTACATAATTTGTGCAAAAGCGAACACTGTTGATATTGCGTAAAGAGATATAAAAAAATATTTCAGAAAGAAAAAAAAAAGTTATTTCCGTGCTCTTGTGAGTAACATGTCTGACTTGTAGCCGAAGGGTCGCGCGTTCGAATCCTGCCTAAAAAGTTTTTTTTTTTTGTTGTTTTTTGTTTTAGGGGATGTTACTTTATAACGTGAAATACCTTGGTACATGTGGCGACCTTTAACTTGCATTACATGTCATGTTTTAATAACTTTCATTCCACGCTTCACGTCACGTTTCACGTGAGCGTTGTTTGAAATTCCCGCGCGAGGTGATGTGGCTGTGACGTCATAACTCTATCGACCAAATCAGGATTGTTCCGTCACAACACCACCGATGCCGGTGTTTCCATGACACGAGCTCCTTAACGCTACCGCGTTAATATAGTAGAAGCTCCACCTCCAGCGCGATTATTCTACCTTAAATAACACTTAGGCGTGTCATGACCGCTCACGGTTATAGAATGACGGACGCCAACGTAAGCATACTGGAGCTTCTGCGTAAAACCACAGCCGCATATAGAGGCCAGTTCAGACACTTGCGACTTCTTAGGACCGTGTGCTTTGATATCTCTTAAAATCTCTTACGACGAGAGCAGACGAGAGCACACCGGCTGGCGCCACCTATCGAGTTGCCGTTACACATTTGGCGGTCCCGTGTGTTTCCTATATTTAAAGCGATAGCTTTACGAAAAACACTTTGCAAAGATTTTGACCTCGTCGGTTGTCGTCACCGCGCGCAAAGAATAGAAGCACTTTTTTCTCTCTTCCCTTGGCGCAAGGAGAGAGAAGTCGGGACTTCCCGTCGGCTGTGCCGGGCGAAGAAAGCGAAGAGGGCAGTCCTGGGCGTCCCGCCAAGAAGGTTGAAGGTTGACCTAGTCTAACGTATACCTAACCTAGCCTAGCCTAACTTAACCTAACCTAGCCTAATTTAACCTAGCCTAACCTAACCTAACCTAACGCGCTTCGTTTCCAAGCAATGGCGACCGCCAACGTTTCTTGATGGACTTTTGAAAGGGTCCATTATGAGCTCAGAAAGCGCAAGAAATAAAACAAATACTAACGGGGTTAGTATACCGTCTTGCTTTTTTTCCTCCTTCTGTGCGTTCTCGGAAATACCAAAATGTTAAGCCAACGTCAACTTCGTCTTTGTTTCCTGAAGAATCTCACGTGCCATGTACATCAGAACGTCACGACGCGTCAAGCAGACGGTGGGGGGCACCACATATATCCGGAAAGGTCTATTACATCGAAGATCTGTTATCCTTATTTATTTTTTATTTATATTTATGTGGGGATTTTACGTGCCAAACCAACGACGAGCATCTGGCACGCCCCAGCGGAGGACAGAGGATTAATTTCGACCACCCTGGGACAGACATGGGTAAATTACTTTCAAAATGTAATTTAATTACAATTACAATTACTTAGCTCCCAAAGTAGTTTAACTACAATTACAATTACTACTACGCAAAAGTAGTTCATTGCAATTACAAATTACTTTTTAAAAGTAATGCAATTACTTTACAATTACTTATTTCTGCGAGTTACCCACCTTGGGCCATATAACTGTAAAGAAGTTATATGGCCGCTGTATAAACGTCACGCATTGTACTTTCTTTTTATGCAATTTTTTAAATGGATTATAGAACTTAATAGTTTGGAGTGATGAACTCCTGCGTTCTTATATTCTCAAAAATAAAAATAAATGGCGACAAAATTCACAGGTGCGAAGTGAATCTCCTTAGAGCTTATGCAAATGGTATCCAAGTCAAACCAACAAAAAAATTAACTTAAAAATAATACAAGGAAAAAAATATGCGACAGTACTGGTATCATAAAACTCACGTAAAATGGCTAATAAGAGAAACTTGTAAACGATGTCAAACATTTAAAGAATACGAGAACTTACGAAAGCATTTCAGCCACGATGATTCGCTGCCTCTCCCTATCTGTGGACTTGTAACATGCCGGATGTGGGTAACCGTAGCACGCAAACTGTGGTTACTTCCACAAAACTAGTGTCACAATAGCAGCAACTCTATTGCCAGGGATTCTGGGTTCATTCAGTGCACGGGAACACCCGAAAAGCTCCTGAGATAGATAATAAATTTAGGATCGTCATGTAGCTAATCATTAGGATAGCAATGATTGTATCGATGTTATGCGTCTCATAAAGAAAACTGATTTGAATTTAGCATGGCAAGAACAACCTCGAAAAATTCGGGATACGCTGTAAACAACTTTATTTTCGCGAATCGCCTACAATTCGCGAAAAATAAGTCCCGCGAGCAATTCCGGTAAAATGTAAACACATTGGAATCTATATTGCGTCGCAAAAATTAGAATCCGCGATTTATTCCAAAACTGCGGCCTCTTGGACACCTCGATTTCATGATTTACTTGAGCGTGTTTCAGCTGAAAGATATAGACGAGCCAGTATTATTTTTTTTTTATAACTGTAAGTATTATTGAAAGTGACAAAAAAGTTGCCTACCTGCAAATGTTTCCGCAAACTGGAGGTCGCCTTTCGGTTTGTTGAATTTGTTTTCAGAGACGGTGCAGAGAATTCGCACCTCACGATTACATTTTTTTACGTTGCTGCTAACCTGTTTAAAGAATTTTTCGTAACAAGGCCCCGGCAGCCTTTCCTTTTCCATAATAGATAAGACTGTTGCAGGTTCTCAGTGCAAAGCAGAACTGCGTGCCTCGGGACGGTTTCACAGGCCAGGACGAGAGGACAACGCGTGGGGGGTCACGATAGAGGTGTAAAAGCGAAGTACAAGCCAAGCCCTCTATATAAAAAAAAAAAAAAGCCTTCAACTAACAACAAATGTAAAAACAAGATCCCTACAGTCTAAAGCCGCGGTTTGTAGGTTTTGGAATCTCATCCAATCAGGCTGACAAACGGTTGAAAGGGTTTGGTAGAGCGAGCACTAAATGATTAAGATTTATACAAAAAGGTAGACGAGGATTGGGAGAAGGAAGAGCAGTGTAGCAACAACAGTTGGAAGTAAGGCAGGGTGAGTCGTGTTAATGAGACCTGCTGTTTCTTTGCTTCTTCGCCTCGATGAAAGGGTAGCACGACTTACTGTTAGTGGTACCAACATACGAGATAGAGGAGAAGGACGTGAAAAACTCATAAAGAAAAGAGAATAATTTCATGAACAAAAAAATCCCCAAACTTGACTGAAATATGTAAGCGTATGTGCTAGCGGCGAAGGCACGCAAGGAGAGCCTCGAATCTCCCCGCCTCGACCGGATGATGTGATCGGAGCCAACCAGCTCGACTTCGACCCCCGATGCCCCCGTGTGGGAATGAGAAAAAAGAAAGACGTACCCCTAGAAACAGGAGCAACAGGAAGCGAACGAGACGAAGAGTCAGATTCAACTACGACAGGAACGAAAACGGACGCGAACGTAACCCTCATTTATTAAATTATTTCTCAAATTCTTCATTAAATTGTTTTACAGTCTACAAAATCCTTCATTCCGTTCTATCCCAGCCTCTCTTTCCCATCCTTCTTTTCCCGCTTTTTGAGCAGGTTGGGAGACACTGTCTCCCCTGTCGCTTTGGCTGTGCTGTCGTCTCCGTGGCCAGGGGGGAAAAGCGCCGCCGCCGCAAAATCTTACAAAAGTAATTGTAATTGTGCCTGAAATTTAGCAATTACTGATGATAGAAAGTAATTAAATTACAATTACAATTCCTTTTAGCCAAAAGTAATTATTACAATTACAAATTACCAGAAAAAGTAATTAAATTACAGTAATTTAATTACTGTAATTGAATTACTACCCAAGTATGCCCTGGGATCATTTGACGTACAACCGAAAGATCGGTTACACGGCGCCTTCTCCGCAATAAGCCTGCGTCAGATGGCGGGGAGCTCGGCCGGGATTCAAATCCGCCACCTGGGGATCCGTAGGCCGGCGCTTTGCCTTGGAGCCACCGAGGCGGCACCTTCGACGGTCTATTTATTATCGGAAGCGAAGACGCAGAGCCTCCGTTCAAGATAAGCGTATTTTACTGCATGGTCTCCGGGCAGTTGTCACCAGCAACAATCTATTTGAGGTCTTGACAGAGCTTCTCCAGCAGCACAATTCCGGGCCTGTTGATCTCCTCGAAGTAGGGCAGCTCCGCTTTGAGACGCTCGTAGTACGACGCGAGTTTGGGGAACTTGCTCGCGTCGAACAACCCGAGAAGCTGAAAAATGATGAAAAGTAACGCTTAGAAGCAAAATATGATACGAAGGGCTAAGAAACATATTGATCACAAAAATTAAAAAAAAAAAAAAAATTTCCAGAGTTTTTTTTTCTTAGGTTACGAATTTAATCTATGCACTAACATTTTTTGAAAAAAAAAAAAAAAACATAACTTATGAGCATGCGCTGTTTCCCAACGAAAACGTGATCAAAGATCGCCACGTATGTCCATTTGTATACGGATCGGAAGTAACCGCGGCTTTTGTCTAATGTTGCAGTTTACGCTTCTCATATATATCATACAAAAGACACGGCGTTCACTGCAGAGATGACAACAAAAGTATTTGCGGGCGCGCATCAATTGTGCTCGAAGCCGCCGCTTGCTTCATACTTGATACATACTTCGAACTTGTCTGCCAACAGTTTTTTTGTATTTTTTTGTATTACCAATGTGAAAGGACTACAATATCTGCAGACTCTCTCATGTGTGGTGTATTAGCAGTGTTACCACGGCTGAATCGTGTGCGCTCATGTCCGTGCTTCTCCCGGGCAGAACTGCGCACAGACGGAGAAAAAAAAGAAGATATCGGCGAAAACGCGAGAAAAGAAAGTATTCACCGTTCCACTGACAGTCAGTCCAGCACGTACGTATTCGTTGTCCCGGAACGCGAGCAAGTCACGGGCGCTATGGGCGACGTGCGCGTCCAAAAGCGTCGCTGTGGTATCCCTCCCACGACGTGTTAAGTACGATTAATTCTACTTTGTTTCGTGGAGGTAAGAGGCATGTCGGATTGTCGACTTTGGCGGTGTTGGTTTAAGGACGCGATATGACTACCGAGCTTCCACCGCGTGCTTTTGTTTTTTACACACACCGTCGAAATTTGTCGCCGGCAATGGATAGTCCTGGTAGTGACGTCGCAGATAAGAACCATGAGAGTGGGCCACCGAAATATCTCGTCACCGATACGCGCGAATCCTCAGGATGGCATCTGTCGGGAGCTCTTTAGTATAACAGTCTATTCGCGTCTCCAGCTCGACGCTCGCCCTCCCGCGGCGGAAACGGGAAGCGCTCTAGTGAGGGTTCCCCGATTCTCCTGCTCAGTGGGCACGGCGGAGCTGCTCGCGATCATGGCTCGCGAGATGTCATTTCCCAATGCAAACAAGACTCTTCTCTGTCCCAACGTAGTGCTGCAGTCGCTATGGGATTGTACCTTACTGGAGAGTTTTAGTATTGCGCATAGAAGCAAACGCAAGCGGTGTGCGTTTGCGTTAGAGTTGTGTGCCCTACGTTGTGCGTGCGCGTCATCGCCATGCGCCATTCAAGACCGCAATTTTTGGGCTCCGCAAACGCGCAGTGTGAAACCCGCAAAGCGAACGCAAACACACAGCGCTTGCGTTCGCTCGTATACGCAATACTAAAACTCACTACTGTTTCACCGGCTTCAAACGCCAACGGAACGGGCTGCAGTGAGCAGACGTGCAAGCAGGTAGGCGTTCCTTCGAACTGGAAAGGCTGAGATTGGCAAAACGACGGAGCGTTAAAATGAAAGTAACTAAATGTTATAAAAAAATTGGTAACTAATAGTTTTTTTTGTTGTTTTTTTTTTGGTTGGGGGGGAAGGGGGGCATTTGGTTCGGAAGGATATTGGCCGCGACTTTGGACGTTTTGCCAATTGTCAAAAGTCGCGACTTTGACAGCCAAATATACTTTACCCACAATTATTATAATTTTACATAGATTTCTCACATTACCTGGATTGTTTTCATTGATTTTATACTGTTTTTATTTTATTACTTGATAAATAAAACTGCTGCAATTGGCACCAGTGATGATAATTAGCCCACTTCTGATTGCTACATTCGTTTGCGTGTTTGAAATTAGATCATAGCAACACATTATATCAGAGCTTGGAAAATCAAGTATTAAATTATCTGAATTTTAATATTATTATTATAATACAAATCGCGGCAATGCATGCCCCCAATTAACACCAAGATCACGAAAATACGCCATTTAACCATAATAGTCTTTCCAGAAAGGTATAATCTTGTTTCTTTTTAGCATATGAAAAACTGACATCGTTATCATGATAGCCAAACAGTCAAGCACTGGATGTAATATAAATTATTATTAATTTATAGGTTTTGTAGACATAATGTAAAAATTTGAATTATTCTCTTATTCTTGTGCTGCGAATAATGTTAGACCAATTAATCATCTAAATGCCCAAAAACATTAAAAGGCCCGCAGTTCATTATTTCTCATGACAATTATTTGAGCGAGAAAAGGCATCGAGAACGAACAAATATTAGCACTGATTTTTTTTCAACAACTACAAATATCAGCCTGGATCGAACATGTATGTCACAAAGTAAAGTTTTTGCAAAAAACTTCCGTAACTAAATAATTACGATGTGAGACGCATCTTGAGTTATGAAAGAATCGGAAATTAAGGCCTGTATCGAGAAATTAAATCTAAAATAGACCTTAGTTTCGGTTTCGCTCCAGAATTAAAACGCACATCCTCGCGTAAATATTACACTAAACACCGTTTTTGTTTTCAGGGTAAAGAGGTAACCTGCACTCATAACACCCTAGCTTCCTCGTATTACCAGAAATAATTTGCGCCGCTCAGTAAAGCCAGCACGCTAGACAGGCCCAACAGCGGCACGCATCTCCGACCCTCACTATAACCGCCATTTTGGAAAATGAGTGGCGCCACCTATAGTTAGTTGCAGTCGCGAATAGTGAGAGGTCTATTGACTATCAATCATGTGACCCGATGCAGCTTTTTTATACACTGAATTGGAATTTTTTTAACACGCGCCATACTTGAGCAATTCATGTTACCGCGCACCTTATGCGCAGTCACCAAAAAAACTCAATGTTTGAATTTTTTATATTATTCGCGCTTTTTTAGGTTGATTTTTTCTTGAAACACGATATGGAATTGTTTAGACCCGACAGCCATAAATGATCTTTAAAATATACAGTAATGGGCGGTGATTGGGGATTTTAAACCATCCCCACCTCCGAAAAAAGACAAACACATTCTCTCTCTCTCTCTCTATCTTTTTGTACGGAAATGTTTGTTTTTTGTTGTCTTTCTATAGGCTCCTTGCACTGACGTCACATCACATACTTTTGAACACCAAGTAAAAGGAGGGGAGGGAAGCTGCTTTTGTAAGAATTTCGAGTGACAGGTTAATCTTCTATAATCTTCTGGGAGGAGAATAGCGACACCCGTGCTAATCCGGAGGCACAAAGGAGGATCCTGGTGAGAGGGGAGCTCCTTCTTCCCCTTTTCTCTGGAGGGCATCGGAAATGACGTCATGTGCAAGCCACGTATATATGACTCTTCGCTCTTCTCGATTATTTGGAAGGGAGGAAGTGGCCGAGTGGGCTACGCGTCTCAGCTCGGAGCGTGGAGCGAAAGCTTGCGCTGGGAACCTCCTGGGTTCGATCCCCGCCGCCCCCGCCCGTTTCGATCTGGATGAGTTTCGTACCGGCACGCGTTCGTGTGATCACTACTGTGTGATGCACGTTAAAAATCCCAGGTTAGCGGTTGTACCGCAGTGGCTAAATTTCTCATCTACAGCTAAGAGACCGATTATCCGTTGAGGCGCATCTCCATCAAGGCTGTATAAACATAAAGAGCAAGCCCATTTTTTTTTCGATTATTTGGTTGCTCCAGCTAAAAAATTGGAGACGTTTACAACTCCCTGTAATCTTTCAATGCACTGCTCCTGAAATAGTTTGGCAGCTATATATCTCGAACTAAGTTGTGTTGGTCGTATGTGTATATAACATCGTTCAATGTCTTGTTCGCTTTCTAGCGTAAACGGTAAAATGTACATTGCAAAGTGTAATGACGCTCACTGTTTCGTTTCATTGTTGTGCAGTATTTCGCTTGTGGGTTTCACGGTTTCTGCTCTTTACTATGTTCGTTGCACTGGCCTTGTTCCATATTGCACGTTTCAGTCATTGTTTAGAAGCCCGTCCTACAACGCCCTCCTTGAGAAGGCAGTAGTATCTGTAAATAAATAAATAAATAAAATGCCCAATTAGAGCGCAGCTCTTGAGGAGGAGGTAGTACGGAGAGGAGGGCATGGCCCTCCTCCTCCTTTTCTTCTCCCATTCCCCTCCTCCTCCTCCTCTCCTCTCCTCCTCCTCCTCGCTCTTCCTCCTTTACCGCCCTCTCTCCCCTCTTGTGACCCTCGCGACGTTAGAGTGACGTCGCGAAGGTCACTCGTAAAGGCCTCGTGAAGGTCGTGACCTACACGAGGCCTTCACGGCGGACCGGAAGAGAGAGCCTCGCCGCGTGTGAGGAACGTCAGGGAGAGGGAGAGCAGTGCTTCTGCTGTAGAGTTGGCTTTCGCGTTTGAACATTAGCATTTTTCCCCCGGAAGGGACGCTAAGAGCTACCGCTGTAAAAATTAACTAATCTCCGTGATATTGATGAGAAAAACAGGAGCCATAGACACTCTTCGAAAGTCCGTCAAGCAACATTGACGGTCGCCATTTTTTGGGGCACTAAGCGTGCGACTGGATCCGAGTCCTCGCCAAACGCGGACAGATCCACTCGTTCTCCAAACCAGGTGAGTATATTTCACGCCAAATGCTGACTGACGCATGCCCTCGTGTCCAATACGTGCTCCCACTACACGTTCAAACAGTGGCGGACTCTGATAATTAGCCCAGCAGCCGCCAGATGGCGCGCGTTTTGGAAAGGTTCTATTGTCGCCTGGATCACGCGTAAAAAGAAACATCCAAAACCTGAGCACTAAAGAGTACAGAGAGTATATAATTGTCTTATATGCGTTTGTTTAAACAGTGGGATAGTTAGTCAGCCCTAGCTGGACGTCTAGTGTCTCCGCTGTGGGTGAGAAATTTGGAAAGTGCAATATCACGGCTAGCCTGGGGTCCCTAGCGTGCACCACGCAGTAGTGATACACGACCGCACGCCGACACGACGCTCATCCAGATTGAAACGGTCAGAAGTGGGCCATTGAACCCAGGATCTATAGGTTCTGTAGAGCGAACTTTCGCTCCAAGTGCTCCGAGCTGTGGTGCGCTAACAAACTCGGCCACCGATCCCCCCTGCCGTAAATAAAACTTTAAAAAAATATATCGCTAACTTGCTTTTATTAGAAGACTCAAAATAATTAATTCGTGACTGCATTTCGACCGGTAGTCTAGACGCGACTTTTCCCGATGCGTTACCTCGACGGGCAAGGTGAGATGGGCCACCAAGGCCAGGTCGGCGACGGTCAGCTTGTCTCCCACCACGTACTTGCCGTCGCCGAGGAGCTGTTGTAGTCCCCCCAGAATGTTTTTCTCGAGCTCCTCGATCTCGGCGCTGGTGGGCTTCTTCTGTTCGAAGAAGCGTGGTTTCTGGAACGGAGGGCGGGAACAAATGGGTCGTGTGTGGAATCTCGGAGTGACACCTTTTTGGCTGTTGGGAAACTCTAAAGCCGCAGTTCCACTATATCACACAAAAGATACTCGCTGCAGGCATCACATAATTATCTGCGCTTAAAGCATACTTGAAGCAAATGTTTGCTTTATGCATATCATTCTTTAAAACAGCTCTGTGTTTTCTTGAATATTTGGTTTTGTATGACCAATATGACAGGACGGTCATACGAGGAAAAAGCGTGCCCGCAATTGTCTGCACTCTGCAGATTGCCTCGATATATTAACAGCGCGACGCTTAGCGGCCTGGCACACGACATTCACCCTACAAAGATGCGCTTTTTATAGGCTTATCGAAAAAATAAACAACGTAAACGTGCCGCTACAACAAATCCTCATGCGTACAAATATTTCAATGCCAGCCTCTCAGCGCCACATATAACTAGAATCTGAACTCATCTTCTAGTCAGATCCAAGTTGAGGACCCAAGCTGGAAAACGGCGGTAGCCATGACGAGTAATGTCACATGCGCCACATTGGGGGCTCTATGCGGAGCGCAAGTCGTCCGCCTCTTGCGCAGGAGTTACGGTGACGTCAGAACAACGCCGAGCTCCGATTGGTTGATTGAAAGGACAGTGGGTGGACCTAAATTCTAGATGCCTCGAGATCTACCCACTATTTCTTCCTCTTTCTTCTTTTTTTTCTTTTTTAATCAGCCAATAAGCAGCTTGGCGTTCTGACATCATCGCAACCCCTGTGCTAGAAGCAGACGAGCTTGCGTTCCGCATTGCGCATCACCGAGGAACGTGGTCGGCTGTAATGGAAGGCACGGGAGGAGCTTCTATAGCGCGTTATGAACGTATATGATATCTTCCGCAATAAGGGGGACACACATAAATTGGCATTTTTGTTGGCTTACCCAGATCATTGGTTTATACAGTTCGTTTGTCTTTAGGTCGGACCAGAGCCGACTGTGTACACGATCCGGTCGGTATAGATCAGCTAATTGAGCCATCTGGGTTCCGTTATCGCCGGCCAGAGCCGTAAATGTAGAGAGTTTGGCCATTCGTTGGGAAGTATAGGAGAGAAATGAGGAGGCGCCATTGGCCGAAAGCGGGCTGGGCGTGTCCCAGGGCGTCTTCAGAAATTTGAATGTGACCAACCAGAGGCCTGAAATAATACCCTGGCGGTGGTCGCGAGAAACAAACCTGATAACTGCATTGGAGTAACTCTCAATGGCTGAAAATATGGTACACGTTATGTCTCAATCACGTTAATCCAAAATGATGGTGGAAGAGTGCGACTAGCGGAACGATCGACATGATCCGTACGCCAAGCGCCCAGGGCCGGGAATCTGGCGTCCGAACGGTCACACTATGACTGCGCAAAACAGAGTTGCGCGGCGCATTCGTTTCTTACATCTTTCTGCATGATCATGATCAAAAGAACTTGTGCACCCTATTTTCAACCATGAAGAGTTACTACACTTCACTCTTACGCGCTTATTAAAACCATATACGAACATAGACTGTTGATCAGAACTGTTTGCCGCTACCACCGCTAGGGGATTCTTTTCGGCTTCTGGTTGGTCAAGAGAGCATGCCAAGCCCTCTTTCCGAGTCTGCCGCACGCCCTGACTCCGCCCGCGCCTCCCATTGACCAAACTCTACATACAGACCTTTCCATCGCTTATCGCCCAGGCGAAAAATGTCGAGTCACTGGACTGTTACGCAGGCGCGGCGTACGATTTTTTCGCAAGAGGCGCTATTGCGCGTGCTCAGAAGGCGTTTAACAGTCCAGTAAGAAAAGATGGCAGCTCGCAGAAGGCGTTTTTTGGAAAGGTCTATACGGCTCTGTCGCCGGCTAAACCGACAACGTACATACAAACAAACAATAGCGATGACATGCACTGTGCGCGATCGGTTTAGTCGTCGATGCGAAAGCCACAAAGGCCGTGACGACGCACTTTTGGTGCTGCGTGATTGGCTATATCAGAAAGTATCGTCGACAGAGGTCCAACTTGAGCTGAATCGGAGTATATATGGTAAGAGCCGAGAACGCCTGACGACCGAGAGCGACGAGGCGGTGCACTCACGAAAAACTTGAAGTAGTGCGGCTGAACGGTGCTCGTGATGACCGCCAGCGCCTGGTTCACTCGAGCCCTGGTCTTGACGCAGTCCACCTTCAGGTCCGACTTGGCCCCGTACGCGTCCAGCAGGTACGAGCAGATGGCGAGGCTGCGGGGCGGGAGGGACGGCACCGCAGCTCGGATACCATTTGCAACAAAAAGCGCCGCGTCGTTCGTGCAGGCAATCACTTCCTTCGGTTCTTTTTATTATCGGAAAAGCTGATGTTCAATCCAAAACCATCCTTAAAGATCGTGACAGCGAGTGATATATGTCGCGTTTAAAGTAAGAGTATTACGTGCATCTGTTTGAAGTTAAGGCTGGGTTTAATCTTGGTGGAGTACAAGCTCGCGCCGCCGAACCCTAGGGATCCTGGGTTCAATCTCCACCCCTGCCAGTCTCGATCTGGATGAACTAAATTGCTCATCTACAGCGAGTGACTCGCCGCAACTTTAAATGGCTGACCAACTACACGCTGTATAAATATCCCCACAACCCAATTTTTTTTAACATAACCGTATACCGCCGTTCGATAGTGTGTCATGCTACGCGAGATGCACGACCATCGGGCTAGCCCTCGTACCAAGTTTCTCAACTATACAGTATGTGAGAGTTGTCATGCACTGGCACACTAAACTTACTGTCTAAGACCTAAACATAACAAAACACATTTCAGGCAGTCTTTAAAAAATACTTTTCAGATTTTAACGAATCTTTTAACTTCCTATCCAGTCAGTTCGCATTGATAATTTTCAATAGATTTTCTATACACTCTCTTTCAAACGAAAACTACTGAGCACAGACAAGAGAAGTGCTACAGAATGTCTATCGCATCGTCTCAATAGATTTTTTGTCACCTGTTTCTCTGGGTGGTTTCGTTTGAATTCGACCAAACTTGTCGAGGGGGAGGGAGGGGGGGGGGGGTTATATTCTTTTTAAATTGTTTGTTATAGTTGTATGTTTCCGATGAACAAAAATGTTCTTTATTAAATCAAACGGACGAGTTTCACATTAAAGAAATCCGAAGTGCCAGAATGTGAAATCGGTCACATACTCAATTTGATATTTTTTGCTCAACTTTGGACGTCGTTTTCAGACTTGGCTTACCCAAGCGGCTAATATATTATTGCGCTGCAAGGAAGGTTACGGACAATTTTATCGATAAAACAGCAATTTCTACGTTTTATATTTATCTTGTTTATAAAACAGCAAACTTGCCACCTGGAGCAATTTTGCATTCCATTTGAATTGCTCCAGTAACCGGACCGTTCAAGATTTTGTTATGAAACAAGTATCAGTGCATAGATATGCTCGTAATCTGTCTGGTGGGGTAGTATTGGACCCTGTGTTGCTCACGGAAAAAATATATCTAGGACCAAACTTGTTACAAATAAAATTGTATGACTTTTAGGCTTAATGAAAAAAAAATTTTTTTTTACTTGTACCTTTTAAGGTTTTGAAATACTGGATATAAGTGTTAGGTGTAATATTTTTATTGATTTTGGTAACAACCACCCAAGCAAGCCAATCTTAGGCCTGCCACTCAATCTTTGGTTCAACTATGCTGGCTTCACCGCTATGCTACTTGCGGCCTCATTAATAAGAGATGTTTTGGAAAGCTACTTCTCCATGATTTATTTCCTGTTATATATACTCGTAGCAACTCCTGAAGTATCCCAGGGGCGTTACGGAGGGCCAAAAAAATACATTCGTGTTAACAGCGATGCCACCTATAGTCTGAGAGCGGGGTGATTGCCAAACATTATGTTTCAAGCTCTGCAAGGCAAGTGTTTCTACCGGATAAAGCACTGGAGCAGGGTGCCATTAAGTAAACCTGCGTTTGCAGACTATATTATATACGGCCCTGGTTTCAACAAATTTCAATACAATTATGCACACTTTTCCTTTTTACGTACCTCTCGTACAGAACGAAGCCATTGTCGTCAATTGTAGGGACTCTGTGGAAAGGATTCAGCTGCAAAAAAAAGAGGGGACTTTGAAGGCAATCACATTTCATGACGAGATAGACACCCTCTTTCAAGGCAGTTATAAATTATCTCTACTCAAGCATTACAGTTTTAGTTAACTTACGGGCAATAACAAGAATGTGAAATCTATTTTTATATCAAAGATTACTACATATATTGACACTAAAATTAAAATAAAAAAGAAGGGTTCATAAAGCAAGTAATTCAAATTACAAATAACATATTACGCACTGTTACTTGAGAACAGTGAACTCTGTGACTTCCTTAACTGTACTAAAGGACGCGTCACTGTGGAATACGTCCATGACTGCAAGTTCGCGTCGCGAACAGGCATGCCCTTTCGAAGTCGTAAAAAGCGGAGATTCTTAGGACGCGTGTGGTTCATGGAGTCGGGCTATCCCGCGACAAAGATGCTGCCTGTTATCGGACGTCGCTCTGAAAGCAAAAGACCGCCCGGCAAACACGGTAATCGCTTCTCCTCTGTCAAACGCAAGCTCGGAAACTGACTCGCAGACACCTGGAGTGTCGCTCGCCTCAAGTCTTGGCAACAAATAAAAAAACGGTCTGTTTCAAAAATTCTTTTTTTCCTTTCAACTATAAAGTTGTTTTTTGTTGTTGTTTTGTTTTTTTTTACTAGGAGGAGTAGTTTCGCTGAGATTTTGGCGGACTCCTGTCAACAAGCCCAGAGTTACTGCATGTGGATATTGTTGACTTGGTTCTCCCCATCTCTTCTTTCTTATCGCTATCTCGTACTCTTCCTCCCTCTACGGATCTCTTTCTATCTCAGTCTCTTTCTTTATTTTCGCTTTTTCTATCGTTTTTTCAGGCTCATGGAAGCAAAAAATTTGCAGTGCATCGATACAGTTCACTCGCTGCAACTTTTTTCCGAGCGTGATTGTTGCGGCGGAAATCGGAGAGTACAGGATAAGTTACACCACTTAAAACTGCCTGAAGCGACAGTCAAATACGATGCTTACCTGCTTCTCAAGAAAGAGTCGAGATTTGTATTCAACGGACTTAGCATCGACACCGGAATGTCCAACTACCAGCATTCGCGAACCGGTGATTCAGCCGACGCGGTTGTCCTCAGCAGAATCATCTGATCAATCCGTCTGTGCCGAGCCTTTTCCAGTCCCTTTAGCCACTCATCCGAATAACCTCAGAATGTACGTCGGCGAGTTATTAGCTGGGACTATTTCGGAATCTTTACCTTTCCGTTGCCCAAACTTGTGTGCTGAGTTCACTGGGTTAAATTACAATTTATAAGTATTTAACGGTAATGTTTTAAATATTATATCGCCCTTTCCTATATGTGGTCTTTTCTTCGAGACTACTTAAATTACTTTTGCCTCTAGCTAGCCGAGTTTTCTTCCCATACACGATGGCCATGAAAGGCGCGGCCATGCCGCAATACAGCGCCGGGAGGACACGCACGTGGTTGGTTCTGAGAGCCCGCATTGGGTCGCAAGACACGTAGCTTTTGTCCTCTGCGAAGTTACGTGGAACGGTAAAGAACCGTTGGTTTTCATAAAGACCTACGCTTCGCCAGTTTAACGATTGCAAAATTAATCACGAAAAATTTGTCTCGCGAATAATTCACCCCATGGTAACGACTACACATGTCGAGTGGTACTCTAAATACATTTTGAAGCAGGAATTTAGTAACTTATCCTAAATATTTCTGTCGATCATTTTGCACCACACTGGGTACACAGAGCTGGACTGGACGGAATGGTTCGTGGCGTCCGTTGTGGTCGGACGTAAGATGGAACGACGTATAGCAGTGTGATGGCGACCTTACGTTCCGCGCCCCAGCAGAGAAGACACAAAGCCGAATCGGGGCTTGCCTTGAGGTAGTCCGGAGTGAGGTGCTCCCCTTCGAGTAGGTTCAGGTCGTGCAGCTTGACGTCCAGGCCCAGGTGCTTGGCCAGCATGCGAATAAAGCCGCACGGCGGACTGCCGTACTGGTTGTACACGACGAGCGTCATCCTCGCTTCACCTTCTTGCCTCGGAGCTGACTGACGAAGACCGGGAGACGGGCGGTGCGGTCTCAGCGCAGCAGACGACGGCAGTGCATTGACTGGGCAACCAGTTCCGAGGAATGCAGCCGCCTTTCCGCTTGCTCGAGGAAGGTGAGCGAAGTAATCGGGGACTGCCCTCCGCCACTCGAACAGGAATGCCTGTCTCTCCTTCTCACCCAGCGGATGCCGGACGCGTCCTACGTCAACACCGCACAAACGTTGCCGGCGTCCGCAGGATACGTCAGAGGAGCCGTCCAGGTATAAAGCAACAGCTCCTATTAGCCCCGAGGAGTTTGGGTGCCGCCCCCTTACGGCGAACCGGGGTGATATCAGGACGATGAAAGAATTTTTCCTTCACTCGCTCTGCTCGCCTTGCGGAGGCGGTGACGACGCTAGCTGTCGGCACGATAGTTTCTATTTCCTTTTTCTTTTTTTTTTTTTGGCGTTTTTTGTAGGAAGTGTGAATTTTTATGTGGTTTTATTCAGGCATGGCCCGTAGCTTCAGGCGAAATTTCAAACAACATTTCAGGCATTTCAGGCATGGCAGGCAGCGGGAATCACAGCTGCAATATGAAAAGGAAGAAATGTGGGCACACTTGCAGGAGCATCATTTACATCTTACACAATCAATGCTGCTGATGGTCTGAAAGAGTTGCCAGGACATATATTGTATTTTTTTATACTTTTTTATTTGTATCTCCGCTCCGAAACAGAAAAGCTGCATGGTGTTCGATCAACATGTTAAAGGGGCTGCGCAAATACCGCTTAAAACAGATCCCTGACGTTAATGACCTATGAAACACGCGTTCGTTTTTCACCCCACGCAATAAAACTTCCAGAAAAAAAAATAAAAAAACGAGCAGCGTTTATTCCCTCAACTCGCAGCCAGAACAAGCGGCCACGTGATCTGGAGCCGATTATATGCCGCCAGTGTTGATCATAGCCACGCGCTGGGGTTGGCAAAGCACAGGACACGCGCTGAGTTCCAGACATTGTTATCGCTCGGCTATTGATGTTGTTGCAGCGATTGGACACGGGTCACTACCCGAATGCATGTCGCGACATCGATTGTCACGAGCTCAGATCGAATGCGTACGCAGTCTTCGCGTCCACTGTGTGAGCAGCATTTGAATATCGTCACAGCTGGGATCGCAAAGCTCGATGACGCATTCCCGGGGATCGTACTGTTGCCATTGTCCGCACAGATCCGTCATCAAATTTCGCGAAGGAGCAGAAGGCGACTTTGGAAGGAGAAACTGAAAGAAAAGCTCCGCTTTCATCCTTTGAATTCCGCCGCGACGAAGACGCTTCTTGGTCAGTGGTGTTGCGTTCGAGTATTCTTGGGTCCCACTAGGCTGGTGTAAAGCAAGACATATTCCTACCCAATGTCGTTGCAAATCCCCTTTAAATATATTGTTGGAGCCAGGGCCATAGAAAGAGAATTGCAAATGAGACGGCCTAAGCACAAGGGCATGCTAAAGAATGAGAATGAACACAGACATATAGTTATTTATTTATATCTGTGGACATTGCTCGCCTTCAACCTTAGCTGGATTCGGATAGTATTTCAATGGACTCCACATGGGGTATTTGTGGGCTTCTTTATGTTTTCCTTCAAGTAATTTACAAGGCCTCCTAAATTTTATAATCACCGTAACGGCATTTGAAAAAAAGTTTTGTTTTATTATTAAATCGAATTGTAATTATTCGTTGCCCAAGAAGAGCAGTAGGATGGTTTCAGATAAGATCGACCAAAGGGTGGCTGGTCGACATTTTTAAATGAACTGATGTTTTTATATGCCATTGTCTAGTGTCTGGTATAAACAATTCCACACTTAGTTATGATCAGAAAAAAAATTGGGGACTAGAAAATTTGTCAGGCATAATGAGGTGGACGACTGAATTTACGCTCACGGATGGAGGAGGCAAGTTTGAAATTGAATAACAAAAACGATAAAATTAGGAAAATTTTAATATAAACAAAGTATGAGTACAGCTTACTTGTAATATATAATAATAATATTTATTGAAATTATATTTATTTTTCTAAAAATTGCCAAACATGCCTGTTCGAACAATAAATGGCAAAATTTGGAGGCCCGTATCTCATGAAATAATTTAATCACAATTATATACTTTTCCGATAGTATTCTACTTATATATGGCTTATTTAAAATACATATTAAATATCTCAGTGATACGATAGTCGTGACATATTTAGGCAAACACGAGAAAAAATCAAACAAGAAAAAATCTGATGCGAATAAAAAAAAAACACCTTCGATTTCTTTTTTTTTTAATTTGAGTACCTTGTTATACGGTATTCGGCATTAATTTCTATTAAAACATGTTGCATTATTTTATAGAGAAAGAAGATATAACTCCCCAAGATAGGGTTCTTTTTCAAAGCTTACATTTAGCAGTGCCCTATACGAGAAGTGACTCTGAGGTCCAGTTTCATGAAGTAACACACATCTTTCACACATTTTTATTTAGATGAGGTCACTGACAACTAGAGCAATCGGAGAATTACAGATTTGCGCGTCTGTTCTCCACGTGCCGCCGCGCCGCTATTCGCCGAGATCCGATCACGTGAGGAGCCGGATCAAGTGCTGTGTAGGAAAGTCAACGAGGTAGAGGGGCTTAGAGCGATAAACCGGGGTTCCGGTCTGCACTCGAAAGTGACCCCCATAAGGCGGCTGCCATTGTACGCAAATTTGACCACTAGTCACATGACCAAACCAAAGACGTGACGTCACGGGAAAGATGGCAGCGCCCATGCAGCGGCTGTCCCCAGCTGGGCCGGAGCTTGTCGGATGCTTTGTTGGTTGTCGTTCGTCTCGGCGAGTTGATTTGAGACACGGAAGCCGTCATATGAGGTTGTATGAGGATGGTCGAAAGCGGCTTCAGAGTTCAGCGTGGTGTCTGACGTACGTATAACGTGAAAATACGGAGGAACGGTGAGCATTTCGCTAGTGACCTACGAGGATATTGCCACGAAGGAGACAATCGGCCCTACGTTGCTAGGACCTCGGATTGACTCGGACACCGTTAGGATAAATTTTAAGGCGACGTTTTTGCGCTCTCGTTGACCATCGGAACCTTCGAGATCTGCAGTAAAGCGTGTGCAATATATTTGGAAACACAGTTTAGCGACGGAAATTGCGTGAGTCGTGCTTGGCAGTGTGCAATTGTGGTGCCGCTTCGTTCAAATGCCCGAAGGCTCACTTTGGTTGTGCGGTGCACCGGAGAGCTGCCTTGCCGCTTGTAGTTCCAGTGCCGTGCTAAATGATACTGTGCTGCTTCCCAAATTGTTCCGGCGTAGAAGTGCACTTTCACGGAGCACAGGTGTGCTGCGCGCCGAAGAGCTGCCTTCAAGCTGGTAGTTCCTGTGCCGTGCTTTAGGTGATGCTATGCTGCCTACTAAATTGTTCTGGCGTAGACGTGCGCCTTCACGGAGCACAGGTGTTGCAGTTGGTATTGATACCGCTGGTCCGTCGCACGTTTCGTCGACACCAAAGTTTCATCAACACTCGTTACGCGAATTGCAAGCTGTATGGTAATTTCATCGCGCGTGTTACCTACCCAGTCCACCAATTCACGCCGCTTTGCGACGGCAGTCTGCAGCGGCTCATTACCAGAAAAGTGGTCTCACATCGATTTCAGTTCAGCTCGTCCACCGCAGTTGCCAGACCGCGAAGGAGAGCATTTATTCGGACAGAATGCCACTAAAGCAGTGCAGCTTCTTTAGTGGTCAGGATAGACTCTTTTCTGTCTGTTTTATTATATTGTCACGGATGCTTGCTCCAGTCCTATTTTCTATCAATATTTACTATTCTGGAAAGTTCCAGGCCATGCTCAGCTGTCATTGTATGTTCTGGTGGAGGTGCTGGGCACTTTACCCATAGCCCTTCACTCTGTGTCTACCCTGGCGGCTCCTCAGCCGAGTTGCCCGATAACAAGACACGGGTGGCACATTATTCCGAGTCTTAAACCCCCGGCGAGCCGTGAACCAAGTCCTATCCCGAGCCCGGCAGAAACACCGTTAGGCGAGCGAGTACCACAAGGACAAAACTCGGAAATACACCACGAAGAACTTGAAATCCAAGCCAGTCGCTGCTACCAGCAAAAACCACCGGAATTAGGTCTTTTGCCAGAAAAAAAACGAAGCTGACTAAGCCAACACTGACAAACCTGTAGCAGCAAACCACGACGGCTTCCGCCATCGTTTGCATGCCCGTCACACCTCGCACTCCGATGCCCTTTCACGCAGGGTGCATAAGACGTCGAGGGCTGGATTGAACAATATGACCGTGTCGCCCGCCACAGCGCGTAGATGGACAACCAGCTCCTGCAGAACCTATACTTCTCGTGGAAGAATCTGCGAGGCACTGGTTAGAGAATTACGAATCCTCCTTAACGTCGTGGGAAGTTTGCAAGATCGAGCTGAAGTGCATGTTTATCAGTCAACATTGACGAGAGAGAGCCGAATTCCTGATTCTGTCCAGGACACGGCCCCAACGAAAGCGTCACCACCTTCGTGGAGGATGTTTTGCTTCTGATCGAGCACTCACGCCAACCCTGATGCTACAGAAGACAAGAAGCTAAGAATCCCACGTTCCTTATGTGAGAGACAACAGCTTCAGCAGCCTTGTCCGCAACCCCACGACAACAGTCGAAGGGTTCATATCAATGAAGCTTCCAACATTGAATGTACACTGCAGGCCCGAGCATGTCACTAGGGAGTTTTAGAATAGCGCACGCTAAAGCTTTGCGTACGCAAAGAATAGCGTCGTCGCCACTGCGCATGCTCCGAACGCAAACCAGGTTTTGCGCTTTGCGTGCGCAATATTAGCGCGCGCTATTTCTCAGAAATAGCGTGCGTACGCAAAGAGTCTTTGCGCTTCTCCAAGGAGGATTCGTGATGGGAAGTTGGCTAAAGCCAAGACGAGCACAGTTGAAAAAAATGGCGGCTTCCAGGATTATGTCGGCGGCTGCTTTGGCGGCGTCGTGAGTGCGACGTCGGCGGCATCCTCGCGACTGCAATTTTCAATACGGGACGACATTGCACTCGGTTTGGCAGCGATCACCGGCAACTTGATGCTTGCGACGCGCGAACATTTCACGGCGAAGGAACGATGTGCGAAGGTCAGTACACGAGACCTCTCTTGCCGAGGCGACGCAAGCGGACACGACCGGTCAACCGCTCGCGTCGTGTTCTCATGTTTAAACAAATTAAAATGGTACTCTG